CTTTCAAACTGATAAATGATTAATTACTTCTGTGTTTTTTGGCTTAATATCTGTAGTGGAGATGGTCAGTGTCCCCCCTACACCCTCTCGGAGCTCACCATGGCTATGCACAATTACGTCTTGGCTTCTTCCAACTGTAAACACTTGCAACTCTTTCAGGACAGCTGTGTCAGCTGCCAGTTCCCAAACAGCCCCTGTGCAGGGCAGGCCAGACGTGGTAGTTGGTTGGTGCCCCCCATAAACAGTCCTCAAACAAAGATTGACAGGAGTTGATGGATACTCCATTTACTTTGCCCCTTGAGGTGTGTTCTACACTGTCTCCTAGAGTTCCCCAGTAGGATTTAACCTGAGTTATGGCAGCGATAACCTGCCATGTAATAATGCACCTTGTGGTAACTTCTTTCCTTCCCCTGTCTCACTTCCACAGACCCCTTCCAGCACTTCCTGGGATCACCTCTCCAATAAACCATTTGCACTCAAATTTTCAAATTAAGAAAAGTTTGCTTTTGGGTAACCCAACCTAAATATATATATATACCCCTCCTTGAGTAGGCTGCTAGCTCCATGAGAACTGAGAATATGTTTGTATTATTTACTATTTTAGCTCCAGTATTTGGCAATAGCACTAGGTAAGCATTCAAAAGGTGATGGATAAATACCAGTTCACTTTTTTTTTTCCCCTCTGACACAACTAGAGTTTACCGCATACGACTGGTCCTACAAGGTATAAATAGGAAGTTTACCCTACCATCTTCAGAATGGGCTGCCGACTTCAGAATGGGCTCCAGTACTTCTCAAGGCAATTATGTTCCATTACCTTTTAAATGGCATCAACACAAGCTATAAGAAATTATGGCACACATTCTTAAGTATAAGCCCCTGGATTTTGCTAAGATATTTCATTAGACAGACTCTTCTAACACTTTCCATTATTGGCCTTCTAAATTTGTCTCCTTCCTCCTGACCTATTCTATGGCATATTTTATGAGTGAAAGATAGAGCAATACATAAAACAAGAGACATTATAGCATAGTGGTTAAGAACTCACATTTCAGAGTCAAATGTTTCCAACTTCCAAGTCCCAACTCTACCACTTACCAAGTAGGCAATCTTGGGAAAGTTTCTCAGACTGTAATACAATAAACTTTCTCCTCCATAAGGTAGGGATAATAGTACCTATAGCAAAGGATTATTCTGAAGATTAAATAATAATATATGTATAATGATTCTAATATATGTATAATGATGTAATAGAATAAATATTACTAAAGGATATAGTTGAAGACATTGACTGTCCCAAGTAGTATATTAATATTTCTCTAGAATGTTACTGAACCATTTCAAACTATTTAGAAAACCATTCCTAAAAATCATACCAAGATTGTTTTCCGTATCTTATTACTCAAAGACATCATCTCTATTGTGTGACACCCCCCTCAGATGCCAATACCTTGAGGGGTTCCTGTATTTATATGGCCATCTGCACTCTCTTTTTACATACACACACACACCCACACACGCACACGCATGTGCGCACACACACACAAACTTACTTTCCCAGGCCATTTAGAAGCTAACAGACCTGAGCTGTAATACTATGTTTCACCATCAGTGGCTGCTGTTAGATGTTATTCTGCAATGTAAGAAATTTCACAACTGGGGCCGTGAGTGAATGCCCGAGAAATCAATTTTATAAATTAAAAATTGATTTATTGTGTTTATTTGGACGTATGCCATGCACTATGGCTCTTGCCACATTCCATCAGAGATGAGCAGAGTTGAGAATACTTAACAATAGTGGTATATAGGACTCAGAGGAGGGTATTCCTCCCCAAGCAGCACAGACTGGGGTATATTCCCACTGGGTTTCTGTGATAATCAGCTGCCTACCAATTATAATCTGGGGTTTGTAAACAGCCAGAAGATTTCCTTGGAGGGAGTAATTATATGCCCTTTAACACACTATAAGACAAACACTTTCTCTTAAATGTGCCATGTGCTGACTACAAAGTAGATTCACTTTCCTAATGCCAAAGGAAAACACTCAGAACCAAGGCAAGGGAACTTGGTGAGACAGAGATATGAGGAGGCCAAGAAAGGAGCACAGAGCATCCAAAAATGCCACGGAGTGTTATCAATCAAGGGCAAAAAACTGGTCTGACCCATCCAAATAAACATGCACGGGGAGATGTTAACAGCATGGATTTGGAGTCAGTCTCACCACAACCAGTGTGTTCAGTGTATTCCTTTGGGCATGGCAATTCACCATGTTAAGACTCAATTTCCTCTTCTGAGAAAGTAGGAATAGTAATTCTTATTTCATGAGGTTATTCTGAGGATCAAATTATAAAATATACCTAAAGTGGCAAGAACAGTAGACACTCCCAAAACAAGACCATATGTTGCAGATGTTATCAGTGCCAAAGTTATATCCCCTTTGGAATTCCCTATTCTCCTATGGAGAACATCCAAAGTTCCCTGCCTGGGAATTCTTTCAGCCCAGAGACATGGGACAGGCTTGAAATGCCAGGGAGATAACACTTCCAGGAACAGCTCTTGGATGATCAGGTATACAATTGAGTGAATAAATACCTACGTCCTCACTCTTTGGCTAGGAAAACTCTGAGGCTTGTTCCACACTGTCTCTCAAGGGCCCTATGGGTTTTGAACCCCATTTGTCCCTTGTGGTAACCTGCTTACGAATGCACTGCATATTGGCTACTGTCAATTCTCTGTCTTACTTCCCTGCTTCTCAACTGGAGCTTCCTGGGATTATCTCCAAAATAAACCACTGGCACTCAGATTCTTGTTTTAGGATAGAATCCAGCCTAAATACTGCATTTCACAATGTAAACAGGATTAACAGTATTGGGTACTTGGGTTTGCAATAAAATGCTCAACTCACTAACCAAGCCCTGTCTATTCAGCCTCCTTTCAACTCTCTCCCTTCCATTCCACAGTCATCGCCTCAGCTGGGGACCTTCTCACTTGTTTTGTTTTTTTGCCTGCATTATAACCTCTAGCTGATCTCCATGCTTCTAGTAATTCTATCATCAAATCTATCACCTACTACCAAAGCTATCACCTTAAAGTGCTGTTCTGATAATGCTCTTCCCCTGTGTTTGTTTTTTAAGACTTTAGTGGTGTCCATTGACCCCATGATGATGTCTTAAATTTTATAGCATAGCTTAAGACCTTCCAGCCTCATGTTCAGTGACGGCTAAACACAGCCAATGCTCTGCCTACATAGAGAACTAACCAGCAACTTCTCAAAAGTCCTTTTACCTTTCCCCTTTCTACATGGTTGAATGTGCTTGTGACCTTTCCTACCTGAAGAACCTGGCTCATCCTTCAACATCTAGCTCAAATGTCCCCTCTTGTATGAGGACTTCTCCAACTCTCTGTCCAAGTTAACAGTGTCTTCCTCTGGGCTCCCACAATAGCACCCACATGCACTGACTCATGTTTCATTCAACAAGCCGTTTCTGTGCACATTCTACTACTATGCACTATGTAATCATGGGCTAAGCCCTGGAGAAACTATGCTGGATAAAAGCAGAGACAGCTTCTGCTCACCTGCAGTTCATGGTTGGATAAAGGAAACAGACATTATCAGGTAATCATATGAAAGTTAGTTACAAAGTGACGTGAGAGTTTACAGTAAAATGTACAGACCCAGCCTAGGGCTTGGAATGCCTTCCACAAGGAATGGGCACTTGGGGTGTGAGTGAAGCAGGAGTTAATATCAGATGAAGGAGGAGGAACATACATCCCAGGCCAAGGGGACAGCAGGTGCAGAGCCCTGTCGTAGGAGGGGACATAATGCTCTTTTTGAGAAATAGAAGACCAGAGAGGCAGAGAGGCACAGAGAGAATGGAGGGAGAAGAAGCATTTATATAATTCACAATCCCATGTCTATTTGTGCTCTGAGGTTGAGCTCCTCCAACATAAGGACCACCCATCACTGAAATCAGATCCACTCCAGCGCTTTGCACAATGCAGAGAACAAAACTAACATGCCCAACTTATGGACGAGAGTGTTGAATGAGTTGACGAAGATCCTGAGGCTGGCAGTGGCATAGCAACTAGAATATATCCCCCCTATTCCTCAACTGCATCTCTTTCCTTAACCTGCCACAAGGCAAACCACTATCTGCCCCCCACATTTTTTCTCCAGAAAACCCAAGTTTTTCTATGAGCTTTTCTCCCCCAAAGGGCCTGATAGCAAGAAAACAAAGCAAAAAACCAGTTATTACTTTCTCTCTCTCTCTCTCTCTCTCTCTCTCTCTCTCTCTCTCTCTCTCTCTCTCTCTCTGTGTGTGTGTGTGTGTGTGTGTGTGTGTGTGTGCGTGCGTGCGTGTCGGGAGCAGATACACATTGGTCTTCTGCGGGGTTGGAACAAGAACAGGACCCTTTTCTGGTACAGGAGTCTTTTCCGGAGCCTCGCTAATGGCCCAAGATGGTGCAGGTGGTGAGAATTAGCCATCAGTAAGAAAGCCCCTGGTGGTGCCTGGGAAGGAGCATCCTGGCTGACCCTGGAGGTCCTGATCCAAAAGACTCTGGATCAGACGCTGCAGGGCAGTGAGTGGGATCTCTGGCTTCCCGCTTCCCGACTCTCTCTGCCCTTCCGCCCAGAACCAGCGGGTTGGGAAACAGCCCAGTTTCCCGGCTATCCCGCCCGCCCCCGCAGATCCGTGGGAGAGGAGGCAACCTTGTCGCGGGAAGGCATCCTCCAGGCCCAGACATTCATCTCTGTCCATTTCAAGGCGCCCCAGCCTGCGCCGTATATAACCAAGTACTGCGCCCACGGAGGATGACACGGTGGCCTTTCTAGGTGTGCTTTATTTACACACAGGTCTTGGGCGAATCCGGATTTTAGGGCTGCGATCAAGAGCCTAGTGTGAGATTGCTTCAGGAACCGGAGTGAGGCTTCGTCTGAGCAAGGACGGGAAGTAGGGGGGCGCAGGTGGGGCGGACGGCGGCTCCGCTCTTGCGAGGATTACGGCGGAGGCTGTGGACCGCGGCGCCGCGGCTCGCAGAGGCTGCAGCCATTGCACAGCGGAGCATCCCACATTCAACAGGAGGAACCCGCCGGAGACGAGCCCCGAGCCCCCCGCGCCAAAGCCCCCGCAGCCCGTGCGCCCCGCGGCCCGGCGCGCCATGGCCAAGGAAGGCGTGGAGAAGGCGGAGGAGACGGAGCAAATGATCGAGAAGGAGGCGAGCAAGGAGCCCGCGGAGGGCGGCGGCGGCGACGGCTCGCACCGCCTCGGGGACGCCCAGGAGATGCGCGCCGTGGTGCTGGCCGGCTTCGGGGGGCTCAACAAGCTGCGGCTCAGCAGGAAGGCCATGCCCGAGCCGCAGGACGGCGAGCTCAAGATCCGCGTCAAAGCCTGGTCCAGTATCCGCGCCTCTCTCGCTTTCTCTCTCTTTGCGCGCTCGGCGCTGCGGGAGGGGGTGGGAGAGCCCCGGCGGGGTCGCTGCCCCCGGGACAGCCCCGGCGGGCGCCCGCTCCGCGCCTCGGCCGCCGGGTCTCGGAGCCGCCCCGCAGCCGGCCTGAGCTGGGGAGGATGCGGAGTGTTGGCCCTGTCTCTCCAAAAGCCAGATCTAGGGGGTGACCAGGGGAACCTGTGAGCTCTTGGGGACGGGGAGGAAGGTGGCGCCCCGATTGCGCTGCCGGAGTTCTCCTTCGGGTAGGACAGCACAGCGGAGTTGAGGGTTAACAGGATTAAAACATAATAACCGCAGGCTTACAGTGTGCCAGGCGCCGCTTTTAAAGTTTTACGTGTGCGATCTTATTTAATACTTCCTGGGACCTAATGAGTTAGGTGGCAGCAGCACCCCCGTTACAGGTGAGAAACGGCCGCTCAGAGAGAATGAGTGATTTGCCCGAGATCGCTCAGCTGCCACTGAGTGGCTCGGCTACAGGATTGGACACCCGATCTTTTTAACCTCTGTGCTGTCCCGATGGGGCCGGGACAGGGCGCACCGCCGGGCCCCGCCTCCCGCTCGCCTCCCTCCCTGTGGCCTAGTGTGGGGAAGGGAACTGGGAGGCAGGAAGGTTAGGTCTCCAGCCTCCAGGCTTGGTGAGGGGTGAGGCAAGGGTTGCAGGCCAGCCCTGTCCCTCCGCCACTAGCATCCTCTGTGTTTCTGCCAGAGGAGAAAAAACCCTGATCCATCCCCTTCGAGAACTCCTGCTCGGGTCTCAGAAAGAGCCCTGCTCTCTAAGACGCCCTCCATCCCCCATTTCTCCTGGGGAAAACTTCTCCAGACGCAGGCCCAGCTGGGATTCTTCCCGGAGAGTTTAAGCCTCTCTGTGTGCGCCTGGGCACTGTGAGATCACATCCCTGAAGTTCTGGGAAGGGCGGACCCTGGACAGAGGGTCCCTGAACCCGACACTGTGTGGTGCCTGTGAAACTTATAAGGGGAATTTTGCAGGTATTAAGGTGAGAGGATCCTGTCTCCTCCCATCTCTGTGTTTCAAAGCCCCCAACACACGCGCACCGCTCCCTAAAGCAGCAGCCACCTCAGGGGTTCCCAGGTTAGATCAGAAACTCAGAGTCAGGATTGAATCTAGAGACAGGAAAAATGCAAAGGAAAGTCCCCTCCCTTTGGCCGTGCTGAGAGCACGCAGACTTCATTTGGCAGATTAGAAGGCAGCTGGTGGGAGAAGTGGGCAGTGATCTCTGGCTGGCTCCTAATATATGAAGCTGGTCATGTCTGGGCCTCTATGGGGGATTTGGGGTAAGAGGCTTTTTTTTTGCAAACTGGGGGATCCTGAGCAATTGTTTTTGCTAACTCTTACTGCACGCCATTGATCCCAGAATGCAGAGCTTATATCTGCCCTTCACTGATAAATCCACAATGCCTAGCAAAGTGCTTGGCACACCGTGTCCTAAATAAGTTATTGTCTAATGAATGCATTGAGGAAAGAGCTTGGACGGGGCTTGTGGAGTCATTATTTTTATTCACTTGCTGGTGGAAGAGCTCCTGGTTAGTACAATTAAAACCATGGTATATTTATAACTCTCCTTCCTTAACCTTGTCACCGAAATATATGTATATACACACATATGTGTGCATATATGTAAATATATGCAATTTTATATATACATATGTAACATATGACCCTCCCTCCAAATTGAAGATTGGATTCTAGGACTGTATGTCAGAGTATAGGAGGGCTTTCCAGAAACTATCCAGCCATGTCCTGTGAAAATTATATGCGACAATGGCTGGCTACTTTCTGGACAGCCTTCATATGATTTGGAGCGTGAAAAAGAAAGAAGCTATTTTTTTAAAGGAAGGAGCATCATCCGCAGTACACATGTCTGTGTTCTCTAGCCTTATGCTAACTGCATAATTGCTGAAAGGAACTGTTACGTTTTGAAGTAATAAATGTCAAGATGAAGGCCAGGAGATTGATTTTTCAAAGCCAGACACACAAGCCTGTTCTTCAGTGGAGCTGTACACACACACACACACACATACACACACACACACACACACACACACACACACACAGAGGAATCGCTGCAGATCCCCTACCCTAGTTGTTCAGGAAACCAACCAGGCACAGGGGTGCATTTGCAATACAGTGTTGCAAAGGGCCTAGATTGATTTTTCTTTCACCAAGCTGGAAGCAAAGTTAATCGGTTTTTGCAAGGGAGGGTTGGAATAAGCTTGTAAAGATGGCCCGCTGGGCCCTTCGTTCTCTGCTGGGCTGGGATTGGATGGCCAACGATGCCCATTGATTGAAAGTTTTAGCCTTGGGATCCAAGATGACTCATTCTGTATTTTTATGAATCAGCGAATGGCTGCCTGGATGAAGGTCCCCCTTTTATCTGCTATTTTTAATAGAAACCTTTTTATCATCAAATAGGGTAATGCTTTTTACTTGGGAAGAATGCATAGTCCATCTGAACTGGTATTAGTCAGAGCTGGAATGAGAGTTCCAGTTGGTTAGTCTATAAATTTTATGGAAACAGAGGAGAAGAGGCAGGAAGAAATACATATTTTATCTCATTTATCCTCTTTTCATTCATGGACCGATGGGACAGGTATTTTTCCTATATTACAGAAGAGCACATTTGTGGCTTGGAAATATTGAATCATTTGCCGAAAACATCACACAATAGTAGGGTTAAGATTTGAATCTGCCTCTCCTTCAAGCTTTGCTGTTTTTCTTTTATTCTATTTTGTCTCTCTTGGTGGAAAAACCATAAGTAATGCGATTCTCCTCTCTGAACCTTGGCATGTACTCTCAATTTCTTTCTTTTCTTCAATGTATATGGTTTCTTTGATCTTTTTATGTCTGGCTAAAGAGAACATTCCCTAGCGATTCCCAAAATAATATGACTTTTCCCAGAAAGTGGAGACATTTTGGTCAAACGTAGCTCAAAAAGAACTATCACACGAGATTGGGGGTTGCAGAGTCTTGTGTCTAAATTTTTTTAAAGACATCATCTCTGATGGCAGACCTATGTCTACAATTATTCATCGAATAATTTACACAGCAAGAGGTTTAAGTGGCTAAGGTGAAGAAGCGTGTTGCCTTTGAAGAAAGATGGACTTGGATGTAAGCTTAAGCCACACCTCTTCCCATGCATGTGACCTCAGTGGTGGACATGTCCCAACTTCTCCAAGCTTCCTGAGCTTCATCTGCAAAACAGGGATCGTAAGATGAATCTTGTGGTACTGTTGAGAGGATCAGATGCAATAAAAAGACTGGCCTTTTGTCGGCATTCGATAAGTAGCAGTTGTTGTTACTGTTGTCATCATTGCTGTCGTCATAGCTACACCTAGATGACATATGCTTCTCGGTGACCTGACAACCTGGGGGCCATCTTTTGAATCATATAATATAGATAATATTATGCCCCAACTGCTTAGTGCATTAGAGTCAGACTTTCCTAGACATGAGTCCCAGCTCTGCTACTTGTTAACTGAATGTCTTAGGTCTGACTTCTTGAAGGCAGAGACTGTCACAGGGATGCTTTTCCAAGTGGCATATTGAAGGGGTGCTTTCAGGCCTATGGGAGCAAGGGAAATAGGCTAAGGCAGAGGAAGGAGCTAAGCAAGGTGGTCGCACCTGGATCCCACCATGGAGTCAGTCCTACCAAGACGCCAGGAGCACAGAGAGCCATTTGTGTCATTGGCTTGTGTCACAATGCCATTGTGTCATTGGGATACTTCCTAAGTGAGGGCATGGCACCTCTCGAGCAGAGGTGGCTTGTATTTGACTGAGTACAGTTCTGAGCTGGGGACAGCTCTGAGCCTTGAGCAGCCAACACACCCAGAAGTGGGGGATGGGTACACAGCCCATAGAAGGGGTCTGGGTGAGGCAAAGTGAAAGGGACACTGTTCACAATTACTCCTGGGTAGCTGGCGCAAACTGGAATTGACTTGGGCAAGCCAGGTTGTGTGGTTCTCCCTTAAGTGATAAGGGTCACATTTGTGCCTTTGCTGCCATCAGTCTTGTCATAGTGGAATGTCTCTTGGACAGCAGCCGCTAGGATTTGAGGCTGGTAGAGGGTCTCCAGGTTGGGCTGCAGGAATGTATTTAAGTGGCCATTAACAAGCCTTGTCTGGTTTGTGGCTCAAATTGGCTTGTGGTAGAAAGGCACTAATGGATTGGGGACATTTATTTTCCCAGAGTGATTTACAGCGAAAGGCTACATGAAACTACTGGAAAGAGACCAATTGGATGAAAAATGGTTCCAGCGAGCCGTGGTTCCATTGGCTGATCTGAAAATGGGCCGAGGGCAGGCCACACCAGAAGAAAGCCACCAGATTGGTGGGATGCTAATATACCACCCATATATAGTAAGCAGGAGACAAGAGAAGGAACACACATTTATTGACCAGTCGTTATGGGTCAGGAACTGAGTTTCCTGCTATATACACTTTGTTTCATTTCATCCTCGTGCCAACTCAACAAGATCAGTATTAGTCTCTCTATTTTTAAAATGAGGGCACTGACATTTAGATGAGGGCTAAACTACTAAGTGGAAGAGCTTTGTGAAAATCCAAGTGTGCCTTGTTCTTGGACTCTTTATGTTTGGGAGTGAGAGCATCAGAGAGACACAGTGACAAAGGCATAAAAGAGAAAGACAGAGACAGAGAGAAGATGGGAAACCAAGAGACAGAGAGAGGCAGACAGACACAGAAACAGGAATATAGAGGAAGAGCCATGAATGCCTCTGATTGATTTGAAATAGAACTGGTAAGACCCCAGATCGCACAGTGCCATTTTGCCCTCCCCCCAAATGGCCATTGTGTTTCTGCACCATTTATGTTTTGCCTACGCTTCTGAGCTATGGGGTGTTTGGGGGACCCACCTAGGATGGAGTTACTGTGACTGTTGACCGACCCAGAATATCCATGCGGATTAAAC